ATAACACGAAAAATTGCGAAAAGGTATAAACAAATACAAATAAAAGATTCTTGCGAACGAACTATTTCTCACGATAACGGTTGCCCTTCATTAAAGTATTTCCCATTCTATAAAGTTTATTTTATTTTTAGTGCAGCTCGTTAACATTCTACCAAATCCACAGCTGCGATATTGCAACGAATACAGAAACGGAAGTACAGGGCTGAAGAGGCCAATACAAACCAGACTGGGTTTAGACCTTGCCCGAGTACAGGACATGACATTGCATTCAATGCTGTGACGATCACGCTGTAGCGGCTATGAAGGAACAAAACTGGCAAAAAGGCTAGGTAAAAGTGTAATTTTTTGCAGTATATGTCTCGAGAAATAGGAGCGATCGTTTTCCACTGGCATTGTTTGCTGATACAGGGTGTTCGATTTAGCCATGAGCTACATAATTATTTATTTGCAAGTTGCATACTATCGAAAAGTTTGAGGGCATAGTTGGTATATAATTAAGAAAAATTTAGAGCACACATACACACATACAAAAAAAAAAAAACACATGGCACGACAGATGAAGGCTCGACGGCATTGTTCTGGTACCGTGTCTCACCTCTTTCATTCGTGCAGCTTCTTTTACGCTCTAAAACTTGTCGATGCATGCTTTAGGCACCCTGACAGCTGCATGAGTCGTATTTATCTTATTGGTTTTAGGATACACGACTGGTGCTCAGTTAGTGCAACAGAGTGGACCGTGACCATGGGAAGAAATTTTAGGCACCCTGACAGCTGCACGAGTCGTATTTATCTTATTGGTTTTAGGATACACGACTGGTGCTCAGTTAGTGCAACAGAGTGGACACCATGGGAAGGAAAAAGAAGCTGAGGATGGCGCGGTCAATTTCAGTACGCAGCTATAAAATGGAACATGCTCGTGCAGAATAGGGCAAATTTGTCATTGGGGGAGATGGAAGAGTGTTCCTCGTGCAATGTACAAACCAATGGGCAGAGAATGACGGTGATGACTGTTTTCTAGCAACACAGTAACTGCATATGTTCTGTTCTGTAGACACATATTACTACCTTGTTTTCATGTTTTTATAATAATTTGACTGCTGTGGCCGGAAGTAGAATTCAGAACATTGTGCTCAGCGGCAACCTTGTGGGAAGCTACCGCAATACGTGCACAAGTTGCCTTTGACAGCACACTCTGAGCAATAGATTGATCGTTTGCGTCCATGGTGTCCGCAGCCCGGAGAAGAGCCTAATCGAAACCATCCTCACGGGTGCGACAATGGGCGTGTACTTAATGTTAGCGGTGGCGAAGAACATCATCACTAACTTTTCCGGAGGGGGGGGGGGGGCGACTTCTAGACGCCTTTGTCGCCTGGATGGCAAACAATGTGGGCCTGAAGGAGCTCACTTTGAAGGTGAAGAGGGTGTGAGCGATCTTTCTGGAGATAGATAAGACGTTACTGTGTATAGGAGTCCATGTCTACTGCAACTGGGTGTCTGGTGGATGGTTAACGTATTTTAATTCGAAACTGCCGCGTAGCTTTTGTACACACAACTCCGTATTACTGTATAGCCGAAGAAATGACGAAAACAATTGATAATTTCGCGAGCATTGTGAACCACGAGATTCTGGCAGCCATGACTATGATCTTTGAAAAGGAGGTGCAAAAAAAGTTGTGTACGTCAAGTATTAGCATATCGTCTCGTCATTATTAATAGCTCCATTGGTCAATGTATTAAAAAAATGCCTGTAACCAGTGAGAGCTCCAAAAGGTGCAATCGCTGTAATGCAGCACTGCGTTTTGTTTGTTCCCATTTTCTAGAAAATGAATTCGTTAAGAGTATATGTTAGGTGAGTATCTTTGGTGACAGTAGCCGTTACGTGAACACTCCATGCGCATATTTGTCGTAGCCGTCGCCGTGAGGTCCCGCATAGTCCAAATAATTAACGCCACCCCTTTCGTAGCATGTTCCGTGTGCAAATGAAAGCGTGTGTGCATGGCTCTCGCATGAACCGCATGAACTACGTACTTCGACTGGGGGAGGGGGGGGGGGGTTCCGTGTTTTTACGGGAAAGCGGTCGGCTCTACTCTCTTACGTTTTAAGTTCTCGTCGCACTATGCATTGGACCCATAAAGAGCACGAAGGTCACTTTGCTCATTGTAGCAGCTGCGTTTTCTTAGAACGAAGTTTTGTTTAGTTACGACAGGTCGCATGCTAAAGGAAAAGAGCTGCTAGCCTTGCTTTTTTTAACATTTCAGTTTTTTCACTATGGCATTTATTGCTTCTCTGTTGCTGCGAAACTGGCAATTTTGTATCTCTTTCTATATTGAGTATTCTTGAACTTCAAAAGTTTTCTTTTTTTAGTATGAATGTTTCACGACCAGCCATAGTTGTGCATATTTGCATATTTGTGCGCGTCGGGGAGCATTGTGTCATAATTATTATTGATTTTCTGACCACATGTGCTGGAAAAACAGCGTGCCAAAACAAAACAAGAGAAAAGAACACATATATACGGTGGGATGTATGTGTATTTCTCGGTCTTCCGTTATGGCACGCTATTTTTCACGCCTAGTTTGTTCCAAGTGGCCTGCATACTGTAAGTCTGCTTGTTCATGATTTTTGACGCGACTTAACGATGCCTTCACGGAATACCTCACGACTACAAAATTTTGCATTCTGTGCTTGTTAAGCCTGAATTTGAACAGGGTAAAGCCCCCCTGTACTGATTTTGACAATCTCTCTTTTCACGCCTTCGTACTATGTATTACTTATCAACTTGATGCAGAATAAACAGGCTGGCTTGCGCTTGAGTAATTATCTGTTTCGTCAGTATTAGTCGAAGCACGCACATTACCTTGCACAACGCGCCTCACACGTTGCGCAATAAGAATAATGCGACTGATGTAGGAAGGTGCGATCAAGCATGGTGCATTCGACAGGGGCGAATGTGAAAGCACCCGAACGCGTGATTGTGTACACAAAGTTAGTAGCCATACCGTGGCGCACACGGGCTAGGTATCATTAATAGGAATTAACCGTGCACAGGCACACTATAGAACGTACGGTCAGCAGATATCTGTAGTTATAGTACATCGCAAATAGGCGAGGGGACGGAGGAAGATAACAAGGGTTGTGATGCATGGTGTGTGTTACGCAAGGAGTGGTCTTACGCAACAGTCACCTCTCTGCAAGGCATACGGAAGGAAGGATAAACACAAAGAAAATAAAGAACAACCATGTATGCTCTTCACAGAGTGGACAGAGTAACGACACGTGATCGAGTGATGACCCCTTTTGCCTAACCGCCAGCTAAGGACCACTTTCACAGTTGTGAACATGGTTTTTTTTTTCTGTGAAACAGCTTCTGAAACTAATAGGGGTGTGGCTGTTCTTGCCAACAGCGTGAAGTCTTGCTCTTCCCGCTGCATCTTGCTCGTTCTAGAGCTAGCGGTTTCGCCTGATACGCGAGCGTGTAAGAATACATGCGACGATGCGGCGCTCAAGCGGAACCAGTCATAACAGTGACCGAACAGATCGTCGGAGCATAGTGGTTGTTCTTATCCAAAGTTGCTGCCTTGTGCCGATGCCGATGCTATATAAAATGGGGTGGGGGCGGGGTGGGGGTTGTAATTATGCCTTAGAAACAAGTTGCAGAGATTTTTTTTTCATCGGGATCTGCTCACGGGAAATGTTAAAGGCTACGCGTACATAGCTGATTTGGCTACAATGTAGAATATGAAACGAACGACCATTTCGTAAAAAAAAAACAAAAAAAAACAAACTGAGCTGAGATGTATAGCAAAATAAACGTGTCACGTCTTTGCTCCTCAAAAAAAAAAAAAAGAGTGTAAATAAGATTTGGAGGATACCTGAAGATTCGTGTTATGATGCACACTGCACTTGAAATGTTGAAGCAAGGTTGGAAAAGCTTAACGCAAAATGTCATCGAGAAGTTTAACAGTGCAAATGCGGCAAGAAGCAGCAAGAAAAGCAGCGTGGGTTTTTTTAACTGTTGGTTGTACAAGCTCGAACTATACCCTCTTTTTTCCAAATTATTTTTATTTTTTAAGGACCCCACTGAAGGGTTATCCCATAAGGAATGGGTTATTGCATGAAGAAGAAAAACCATGTTTTAATACATTGTAAAGTAGTCTGTTAGTCGAAAATGTGGAAGGACTGGTTGTGGCTGTGATGTCATGGGAAAGGCCGTTACGATCTGTTGCTGTACGAAAAAAAAAAAAAAGAAGGAATACGAAAAGGTGACGGTGCCGGCACGTCGGCGAGATCGAGATGCCAGATACTCAATAAAGCTCCAGTGACAGCACCTATGTACGGCACATTTCAGAGCACACACACACCGCAAATACCTTTTGAGTCTAGCACCGCTGCAGAACATCGCAGACTCAATCCCCGACCGGTATCTCGTGAGCAAACTTCGTCAACTAAGGAAAACGGTCGATCCCTTCGGACACGACTTGTTGTGAGGGTACCGGTGCGACTGAAGATGCGTGTCGGGGGGAGAATGCATACATGGTGGCTTACCGAGGGAGCTGTAAAAAAAAAACTTGTGAAAAAGACAAATACTAGCAGGGCAGCGTCGATACGCCAGTAATTATAAATGACCGGAATCCTGTTTTCAGTGCCGGTAAGCTGACGTCAATATTTGTCTACGAACAGAAAAATCTTGTGCGGGGGCTAGTTGGAACATACTGCAGGAAAAGGCTGCGCTGCGAAGTTGAGGACGAAAAACTGTGTCATTCTGTCTCAGTTCAGTTTTTCGTCCTCAACTTTGCAGCGCAGCCTTATCCTGCAGTAGTCTACGAGCAGTTCTTACAAACATCGTATTAAAGGTACATTTGACTAGCTAATTGAGACGTCGAACGCTACTTAAAAGTTATAGTTTGCAGCGATAACTGCAGGTTTATAGTATACTATTTTAGTAGTGAAAACAAAAAGAAGCTTGACCGACGTAGAAATCGCGGTGAAGTCGGCCAGCGTCACGAGAAGACGCAGTTGTCGCGCCGACGCATGGCTGCACTGGGCGTGCAGTTGAAGGCGGCGAGAAAGTTCTCCTGCACGAGCAGCGGGGCGTTGCAGCGCTTGTACATGTCCGAGTGCACGGCCTGCTGACGCCGGTCCGCTGTCAGCCGGGCGGGCCCCGACTGTTGCACCACTTGAAGCACGAGCTCACGTAGAACAGCTGCTCGTTCGTGAAAGGCGCGATCCCCGACGGCGCGTAAGGTACGACGCGCCGCTTGAAGGCCGTCGCGGCCACCTGCGATGAAAGCGAACGGTTTTGTCCCAGTGCGGAGCGAAGCGTTTTCGTCAGCTGGACCTGATCGCGGTTTTGACACTGGAGGTTTACGCGAAGCGCCCATCGCGCTTCGTTGATGATGATATGTGGTTTTTATTGGCGCAAGGGTCATACTTGGCCAAAGAGCGCCCTAAAAATGACATTAAAATAGCAATGATGTGTCGTTTGCGGCGATATCTTGAAGATGTGAAGTCTGCATGGTGCGGCCACGTGCAAAGCGATAGCGCCAGTTCGAGGCATTAAAAAAATGTCTTCGCCTCCCCCAATTCGCACAAGCCTCCGGAGCCAACGGTGGCCGGTGTTGCTGCGCGGCTGTATAGGGGCCTAAAACTTGCACCCCCTAAGGTGGGTTAAACATATAAATATTTAAAATCACGAGGGCGACGTGAATCAAATGTAACACGAATGAATGGCATTGGTTGTTGAATTAACACTACTGGCATGTATGGCATAAGCACAAATGCCTGATCGATAGTTCATGTGTGCAAGGGTACTCATCCAGCATCAATAAAACTCGCACCTTCCCTTTGCACTCCGTCTCAAGGGCGAAAACCATCTTATTTTTCCTCCCACGCCAGATGTATTGATCCTGCCCTGCCACCTTTCGAAAGTTCTCTGCACCTAAAGGGTTTTCGGGCTGCCTCGGAAATCGGAGGCTCCTCTTCTTGCTTTGCATTGCTTGCTTGATCGGCCAATTTTGACAAAGCTATAATGTCATCGCTCAACATCACGTCACAGTAACGTCATGATGACATCATAATGACGTAACGTCTTGGTGATCTGTGATGTCGTATAGTGACGTGAGCACGGGATGATTTTTTTTTTCATCGCTCGTCCCCAACGCCGCGGATGATCAAGCTTTGTGTTTGATTAGACATCTAACGCTTTCTCCTTAATATATAGCGTTTCACGTGTCAAAACCACGATACTGTTACGGAATTAAATACATTCAGGCCAATGAAAGTTTAGTGGGCGTTATTTGTAGTAAATGAAATGTAAATGTGAAGAAAGGAAAGCGGTATAAAAGAGAACTTGCCATTGACAGGGACCAAACCTGCATGCCGCTTTCGAATAACGCATCCGATGCTCTACCACTTGAGCTATGGCGGTTGAGCATCGGACGCGTTATTCGAAGGTTGCAGGTCGGGTCCCTGCCGGCAGCAAGTCGTCTTCTTTTTTCACTGTGATTTCTTCACATTTGCATCCTAATTACTGCAAATAACATTCCCTCTACTTTTTTATTTGTTGATTATCATGAATCCGCGGTGTCTAGTGGCTAAGGTACTCGGCTGCTAACCCGCAGATCGCGGGATCGAATCCCGGCTGCGGTGGCTGCATTTCCGGTGGAGGCGGAAATGTTGTAGGCCCGTGTGCTTAGATTTGGGTGCCCGTTAAAGAACCCAAGGTGGTCCGAATTTCCGGAGTCCTCCCCTACGGCGTCTCTCATAATCATATGGTGGTTTTAGGACGTTAAAGAGCACATATTAATTAAATAAATAAATAAATAAATAAATAAATAAATAAATAAATAATCGATTAAATATTTGCTTAATCAATCAATCAATCAATCAATCAATAAATCAAAATTATCATTAATATTGGGTATAACAAATAAGAAAACATGCTCCTAATATCTCCTTCTCTGGTTCGCTCGATATGCTTATAAGGTATACGCCCTAATGCGGTACTCCAGATTGATCTCGACCACCTTGGATTATTTGATGTGCACATAACTCGAAGCACGTAGGTGTTTTTTTTTTTTTGCATCGAAGTGAGGGCGCCCTGGTCGGGATTCGACGCTGCGCCTTCGAGCTCAGCGGCGAGACACCCCCACCTGTTAGGTGACCATGACGGGTACCATGGCGAAATCTTTCTAAGATTTCTCCCTGACCACCAAAAACGGAACACTCATGGTATTTGTTATTTAATAAATCTATAGCTTGCCACGGTGTTGTGCCTGTTACGATGCTCAGTTGCTGGCCCGAAGGTCGATGGTTCGATCGTCGTGATTGCATTTCGATCGATGTGAAATGCTAGAGCTCCGGGTTTTGTCCGATGCCAGTGCATCTTAAAAAACAGCGGATGGTCCAAATTTACGGAGCCCTTCACTGTGGCGTGTCTCCTAATCATAACATAGTTCTGACACTTAAAACACTACTATTTTTGTTATTAGTATATCCATAAAAACTCCGGCTTTCGCAAGTAAAAAAAAAAGCTAATAGTGAAAGACCATGCCAAATCCGGAAAGCAGCTACTGCGAATTCTCACCTCAAGGGACTGGTCAGGTTTGTCGTAAAAAAAGTACAGCATCAAATTCGTCAGAGAAGTTGCCTTAAATAATAAATAAAAACTACCAGTTCGTGAAGTTTGCGTGGTACATTCCTGAATTCATTTTGCAAGTCCCTAATTACATATAACTCTGGCGACAAGTACTATATGACAGAACAGTGCAAAATACGGAGCACTGAAACACAAACTACACAACACTGCGTTGTGTCCTGTGCCTTTCACTGCCCCTTGTTTTGCACTGTACGGTACTATAATGTTCGTGAACGAACAACCTTCCCTGCCAACAAATAGCGAAGGAACTGAAGCGCACGAAATAAGTGGAGCGCAAACGGGCAAGTTCGTTCCCAAGCGTGAACGAAAAACAACGAGCAACATAGCATTGAGAAGCCAGAGCTACTGTTCACCTTACGTTAAAAGGAGAAGTAATAATCGAAGTCGTCTATTACCCTTGAGAGGTGGACGCGTGAGCCTTATAGACATTACTCTACGCATGCACACGCACACAAACGTGTGTGTGTACTTTAACACCAACTTTTGCTCTTCTAATGTATTTGAATATGCGCACCAGTTCGCTAAATACGTAGTACAACTCACTAAATTATTGAAGTTAAAAGTGGTCTTTCGTGTGTGTGTCTCTTTAGGTGCAGAAAAAAAATGGCCCATCCTAAATATAAGAACCACTTGCAGAACACTGAGAGCGTATCTATAGATCGATTTTTACTGTAATAAAAGCTTTGGCAATATTATGAGAAGAACAAATCACCCGAATATTTCGTTCCAAAAAGTGGTTCGTAAAACACCAAACTTTTGTTTCTTAGATTTTCTAAACAAAATATAATGCCTTTCGTTAATTTTTTTCTCCTCTGGAACCTAATATCCAAGTAATATCCAAAGGCGTAGTTTGCTTTAATTATATATAAAGTGGGATTGATTGTAAATGCACTACACATTTCTAAAAGTTACGCTCTTTTAAAAACGTTCGTAAGGAAGTAGCAACTGCAAGCAAACAAGTAGCAACTGCAGTCGTTACTATCTTTCTTGGGCCGTTACTTACCTTTTGCTACCTGTTTACTACCTATGTTAGTAAACAGTTACTAGCTGCAACCGTTAACTTTTTGCGACCTGTTTGCTACCTATGTTAGTAAGCAGTTAGTGACTGGAATGAAAGAGGTAGTAACTGCAGCTGTTACTACCTTTCTTGCCCCGTTACTACCTTTTTGCTACCAGGTTGTTGACTATCTAATCCTAAATAGTGTGCGATTTCAATTCAGATAACTTGAGAGGAATCATGTTGACGTATCATAATGAAACGGAAAAATGGCGCAGAAGATATCCATAGATAAAAAAATAATTTTTTTTTAAAACTACGCAACCGAGATATGCAAACGTCATTCTGAAATTGTCGAAACGGAGAAGCACAAATTAATGAACCATAAGCAAGAGCTACACGCGTTGTAATATACAATTACAACAAACTTGGTAAACTACAGCAAATAACGAGACCGGTAGAGTAAAATAACCAGGCGGTCATAATCCACTGCAGCGTGTCTCCAAATATTACCTTTGTTTTGGTGCGTATAACCTCAAGAACGATTATTAATTTTTCACCACTGATATACTATAGGCTTGTGAAGCCTTGAAATGCACTGAGAATGAGTTCGGTAGCCTTGTTTCGGCCACTGTACATATCGTCTTTTTTTGGCCATTTTATAATGAATAGATATGACATATAAGTTTTTATAAGTGAGGCTGATTAAAAGTCTTGTGCTACGTCTCCAAACACACCTAACCAGGTTCACATTTGTAATAATTCATCCTGAAACACAAGTGCGCTCCTGTGCCAGACATGCCCCTGCAAAGTAGGGGCTATATGTATACCCCATGCTTACTGCATACTGTATGCGTAGAAAAAAATAGTAACTTGTTAGGTCTATGTATTCTTCGCGATCATGGCACTCCACGTTACATTACCCGAAGTTTTGTAGTAATGAACATAGATTGACTAACACTAGCAATGACAAAATAATACGTCAAAGTGAATGAGCAGGGTAGTTAGTATCCGTTACTTTTTTTTTCTTGAAACCTTTACAAGTTACTACCCATGGGTGGTAATGGCTAGGGTAGTAAGAGTTACTAAATGCTTGTAGTAACAGCAAAGGTGGTTACTGTTACCGCCCTCGCCGTTACTGACTGCGCTTACTACCAGGGTTGTAACATATGTGACAAACCATTACTACCACAAAGTTAGCAAGTACTGCTATACCTTTTTTCTAAGAGTGTACATACTATTGGGGCTCAATTATGCACACTTAATGTCTTCACGCACGTGCAGCACTAGGTCAGAAAGCGCTGGTGCGAATATTAAAACGTTACGAAGCGAGCGTGCAGTTTGACATCCAACTCATAATTGTTTCCCGAGAAGAAGAATGATTTTAAAGCCCGCCTCACTAATTGCAACACCGCTTGCGCATCGAGAAGTCAGTGTGGAGCGTTAAAAGCGAGCTAATGAGCGAGTCGACCCGTTCCACTCGATTAACGACCCACTATTGGGGCAATGGGCCGAATGCGTCAAGTCAATTATTACTGCACGCGTTTTGAGAGATCTCTCTAGCGGCGCATCATTAGGCAGCCGTATTTCTCCCGGTATTTTCGACTGAGACGCCGTGTCGCAG